ATTACTGACCTCTGTCATCATTTTAAGTGGGGGAACTTGCACAATCGGTGGCTGACTAAATACTTTTTTGCCCCACTGTATGTATGTGTGTGCGTGTCCAGAGTTCAGCTGAGACAGTGTCCTTCGCCCCGCCAGGCTAAATAAACAGTCTTCCAGCCAACCCAGGTGGCCTTGCATAGAATGGGAAGGAACAGACTCAACACAGTCGTTATCAGGGAGTTTTTGTTCGGCTCCAGCCTTGAGCCCACCGCTGGCGCCGAAGGGGTAGCCGCATTATGATGGTGATTTTTCTTTTGCAAACAACTCATGAGAATTTCAAGCTGTTTTTAACACTCCGACACTGGTCTCTCAATCTCCCGTTAATAGCTGCGAGTTTCTCCGTGATGTTATTAGCCGTCGATTCCATGGTCTTGTCTCTCTTGTGCTCACATAGCAGGTTCTGTAATCTGATGTAATCCAGCTTCCGCCGAGAGATGTTGTTCTGAGTTGATTCTTTCCTGATGTAATCCAACATACATATGCTCAGAGGTGTTATTCTGAGCATTCACTGCAGTCATAAGTGCCTCCAAGCTCTTAACCATGCTACCTTCAGTGAGCCCTTTCTGAGAAGTCGCACCTGTCGTTCCAATCCCAGCGGGCAGCCTTGTGGGGGTTTGAACAGCCAGTTCCGCTTTCTTAATTCTCCGATAAGCCAGGGCCAAGTCAGCTCCGATCAGCACGAACCCTATTATCATGGTTCCGAATAGGTAGATATCTTCAGCGTCCTCGATCGACAGTCCCGCCAGGCACACGATCCTCTGCCACCTTTCCATTGTGTATCCGGCAGGGAAAGTCCCTCCAGGGCACCTGGGTTCTCCCGAGCCCAGACTTCTCATTAAAGGGTGTCAATAGCATTCAGAGACCAGTTGATCAAATCCATAATTCTCTTTTAGGTTTTAGATACAGACTGAGAGAGTGTTCCAGGGAAAGTAATACAAAAAGACATGAGACTAGACAAGGACATAAGAACTAGCAGGGAAGATAAGGGAGAGGAGAAAAAGTGCGTCCGCCTCCTCCGAGAGCCAAAGAAAGAAATAGCTTTGTCTTTGACCCTAAAAATCTTCACAACATTGTGTCTGACCAGATATTTAATAGCTTTACTTTGAACTACAGCAAGGCTGTGAAGAATCCTGGAGCCAGTTTTGATCTGATATATCTTTTAATTGACATGTTAACCAAATATTTAGCACTATTTTCATTTATTTGTGCAAGATGTCTAAAACGAGAAACATCCTGTCTGTTTGTTAATGAAAAAATTAGAGCATTTATTGCTTTAGGTTGGACTATTGTAATTCATTATTATTCATCACTGCAAAAGCTCCACAAAAAAAACTTCAGTTAATCGAAAACACTGCAGCGAGAGTACTAAAAGTACCAACTCTCACTCTCTCTCACACTTTCTCAAGTGCACACACACTCACTGACTCTTTCTGCCTCCTTCTCACCCCCAAACAGTCTCAACAGACGATTGTCTCTCCATGACCCTGGTTCTGCCAAAGGTTTATTCTTGTTTAAAGAGAACTTTTCCTTCCTCCTATTGCCAAGTGCTTGCTCATGGGGAGCATCTGGTCATTATTTTTTTCTCTAATATTTTTAAGCTTATATCCAAATTGAATTAAATTAACTGCCTAATTGCAAATTATAATAAGTTATACTGCCTATCAAAGTGACCCTGGGGTTTTTTGCTAAGCTGCAGCCTTTCTTTACTGTAACTCCTGTTTAAAACTATTTTAATTATGTCTATATCCAAAACAAATACCACAACACTGAAGTCTAGGAAATGGGTCCAGTTTTTGTTTCAACTGAAGCACAGCTCAGGGATCTCTTAAACTGATTTATTCTTTTTGTACTTCTCAAAGTACGAAAAAACAAAACAAAAAAACGTTTCCAAAGTAACTTCAAATTTCGCACAGCCAGTAAAACCAACCAGCTCAGTGAATTCATGGGTAACTCCGTAAAATCAACACGGGACTTCTGCCTATCCGTCTACGATTTTCATATAAATGTTATGGTGTGGGCACATATGAGTGCTGTGAAAATTTCACTTCAAAATTGAAATATTACTCAAGAAATGTTTCTTTGAAAAATGCTCTGTCAACCCTCTTTTTTTTTTTTTTTTTTTTTTTTTTTTTTTTTTTCAACCAGCCACTTCTGCGCTTGTGAAGTGGCTGTTTGGTCTCTCCAATGTAGAGGTCTGGGCATTCCTCGCTGCACTGTACAGCATACACCACATTGTTAAGTCTGTGTTTTGGAGTTTTGTCTCATAGAGATTTGTCTATGTTGCGCATGGCACAACACAGAAGAGCCACCTCCACAGGACAAGACTCAGCAGTCCATCTGCATCTTAAGGATAAAGGTCACTCTTTCGAGGATGCCAATGTTCACATTTTGGACAGAGAGGACAGATGGTTTGAAAGAGGAGTGAAAGAAGCCATCTATGTCCACTGTGAGCGAACATCTTTGAACAGAGGCGGTGGTTTACGACACCAACTCTCTGCCATCTATAATCCAGTTTTGAGTTCCCTTCCCAGACGCCTTAACGCCCACTCACATTGGCCCCACCCTATTTGCATAATAGGGTGGGGCCAGGTTTCACAATGAGCTCACCCGAAACTCTGGCTGATTGGGACCCACACCCAGTTTCACACCTTGGCTCAGGCGATTAGAGGATCATCAGGGGGTCCTTTTGTCCCTCTGTGGGGGGATACTCCCACTAGGTTTAAATCTGGGACTCTCCACCATTTGACCTTAGAACTGAAGAAGCTTCTCGGATGAGAGGTGAAACGTCTTCAAGCAACTTAAAGAAGTCCAGACGCTTTTCTTTGCAAGCTCCTTTGAATACACAGATATGGGTATACAGATTTGGTAAATTTTGTTCATTCTTCCAAAAGGACATTTGTTAGGTCACACATCGATCACGTTCAGTTCAGGACTTTGTGCACTGTTGCACAGTCATTCTAGAACAGCGAGGGGTTATCCCCAAATTGTTCCTGCAAAGTTGGGAGCATGAAACTGCAATTTTAGGAGAAATTATACTTTTGTTAGCTTTGGCTGGTTTTGTCACATCACAGTACTGTTTGTTTGAAAGGTAAACGTGAGTACAAAGTTGTTCTGAAGTGAAGACTGAGAGATTTGTTTGACTATCCTGACTGGGCGTGGTTTAAATTTTCTTTTGTGGTGATATACTATTTTATCCAGTACCAAGCTGTCTATTAGCAAATGCACTTGCACATTATTTTTGGCAGGAGAGGTCCTTTTATAAAGGAGATAAATTACAAAAAGAGATGTATTGATTACCAAAAACATAGATAAGTCTAAGTAAAATCAGCTACTAGTAGAGGATGAGATAAAGAAGGAACATTAAGGAACTATGTCAATTGTGGTGATGCCGAACAAGATAACAATGTTGTGTGGTTTTCTGATTAATCTTATTCTGAAATACTTTAACACTCAGTTTAACACTTTTTGTTCTAGGTTACATGTATTTGATTTAAATAAAGAACGTTCTCATTTTGGGAAAGCAGTGGATCAAAATTGTTGGCCTGCTTGTGTGTAAATCTTTTTGTTGTTTTAAAGTGATGAAAAGGAAATGGATGGAAAGGAAATTATTGTGGTTTTGTGCCTTCTTGTCTGCAGGCTAACAGTCCACAGGTTGGGTGCTCGGACTCTGATTCGCTCCCTGGAGATGGATGAGAGAGAGAACAGAGGACAGCAAGATGGAGGAGTGAAGGAGAAGGTGGTGCAACTCAGTGTCCAATCAGGAGTGAGCAGTTCTTTCACTGCCTTCATTGCTGTCAACAAAGACAACAGCGAAATGATTCAAGGACCTCTTGTGCGCAGAAATATTCCAACACCCCGTGAGTTTATTTCAAAAGTAAAAATAAAACTCTGTCAGGCACAGACTGAAGATGAAGATAGACTTGAATTAAGGGGTATTTATTGTAAGGGGTACAATGATATATTGAAAAGCAGACTATAAGAGTCACAGACAGTACAAATATAAAGAAAAGTTGGTTATGGCAAAAAGTAAGATTCAGTAGCAAAAAAATTATGCAAGGAATCAAGATACCAAGATGGATGTTAACACCACGGACCCACACAGCGTTCGAACACAGTTAAATTGTCTTAGTTGTACAGATTTTACACACACACACACACACACACACACACACACACACACACACACACA